GAGCATGTTCGGCCGACCCGAAGCCACTCGAAGCAAGCCGATGTACGGCTGATTTCAGCCGATGTACGGCTGAAATCAGCCGTACCAGCCTGAAGTGAATAGCCGAACAGTGTTCGGCTCACTTCACTTCAGATCGGTCATTCACTCGGCTGCCCTCGGCAGCTTGGTGAATAGACCCCTAAGTTTCTCAAACTCCTGGTAAGATGTTGGCCATCTTCTTCCTGGTAAGATGCTGGCCATCTTCTACCTTATCCTAATAGTAATGACCTTAATCAGTAAATATGTCTAAGTGCCAATTGTTTAGGAAGTTGAGGAAGTTAGACAAGGACAAGTTGTATTCCATTCAGTTGTTATGGGTTACTGCACTTAAGAATAAGAACTCCTACTTATATATAGTGCAGACCCCTCCTGCAAGTCAAGAAGGAAACCTACTTTACTTGGGGAAGATGCAGAAGCACAATAGAAACACAATAGGTCCAGAAAATAGATAGCCCATGAATTTGGCTGCCAGATCTAGTTGATATGGGCAAGTTTGCCCCAGTGCTTAAGGGCCTATTCACATCTGTCCACTTTCATGGAGCAAAACTCATAGAAATCCCATTCTTTATTTTGTGGCTGGTTTACATCTATGCAATGCAGTTTAGTGTGAAAGGGAGATGGATCTCTCAACTGCCATACAGAAGAAGCAATATCAGCTTTTGTCATTCACTCAAAATAATGTAATGAAAAATGTTAGGCAACAATTTACATATTTCAAGGTGAGTCAATTTGTATTTTTGATCTCAAACCCTAATCAATATGAACAAAATGTGCACATATGTGAGTTTTAAAGTAAGATGATATGCATTTTTAAGGGGATTTCCAGGAAATAAAAGGAAATCCATATTTATTTATGCATTTTCAATGTACACCCCTCAGCTTTACAAAGACCAGGAATTCCAGATTTATTCTGAAGCACCACCTGCTTATGATATGTTATCATGATTCCAGTCAAGAAGCAATACTTTTACCCTCTTACCAATATAAAAACTGATTAGTGATAAGGACTATAGCAGATGCTTTTCATAAACATTGTCAATGTTACATGCTGTTACATTCTGTGTGTGGTTATAAATCATTTGGATGGGTTATTTAAACCTGCATGACTTGTCACCATGAACTTTTTTAGTCAGTGTTTCCCTGCTGAAATCCAGATGTGTGTGATGTCACCCTGAGATTACAAGTCTGTAAGGTATGAGGGTGTGCACCATCTATAAGAGATCAAAGAACTACAGTGCCTTGATTTATGATAGAAATTGTCAGATTTGATTGAAAGCTGACATTTTAATCTGTTGATCTGATCTTCGCTAATAACATTATTCTTGACTCAATTACTCATATAAACCAGTGTATACAGTAAATTCCTTTGCTGTGAGATCAATTCTTATTACTGGAAGGAAACACCAAACAATATATTTAAATTATGTATAGGCGATTGCTGCATAGATAAATGGACATATGTTACCTACAGCGATTCCTTAAAGTCAGCTGTTCCATCTCAGACAAGACATCATCCCGGCACAGCAGCCTAAGAAGCACAGCTATTTTAAAGGCTAAGTTTACTTTTCAGACCATGTTTCACACTTATTTACGGTGGAACATGAAACATGGTCACATGGTCTCCATATAAAATCAGATTTCTGAAACCATCATGGCTGCCCCAACTACAAGTGACCTAGAGACAGGGATTCATTGAAAAATGATGTGTGCTACATTCTGTTCCTAATATTACAGCTGAACAAAATTTCAAACACTAATATTAAAGGTCACAGGGATTTAGTTAGTTGTCAAGGGAGGAGTGGAAGGTTTTTACTGTTACACAGCTGCGAAAGGTGACATCATTCCTCTTTGTTAACATCTGGCTCACAGGCCTTAAGTTAAGCCAGTGTAAATGATAGCATAAAACCACTTTTTCCAGATATGCACTGAAATCAACACAAAAACACAGAGATCTTATCGGGCCTGAAGAAGGGTATTTTTAAATACTGATTATTTACTCTCTCTGTAAATCAATGTGTTCTGTACCGCCATTCAGTCATACAAGACAGTTGAAGATCAAAGACCACCTGACCAAGTGTGAAGAGATGCATGGTCAACTTCCGAACCACAGACAGTGCAAATAAGGATACACTCTTTGATCATTCATGTTGTTGACACGTGTTCTGCTTTCATACTATGCTTGCATGGCCAAGATTGAAAGATAGCACACATCTTTCTCCGTGTTGCTACTACAAGTATGAATACTGTAACCACACTATTTACTAGGGATGAACCCATACCATTTTTTCTGTATCGAGCACGAGTACCAATATTTATTTTTTCGGTCCTCGCCGATACCGAGTACCAGTGCATTGTGTCCCGATTATCAGCGGATCATGACAAGTCGCTCAGCTTCTTGATTGCCTGTGAAGCCTGTGTTCTAGCAAAAGAACACTGGCTTCAGAGGCTGCCTGGTTTCCTGACCAGTCAGGAAGCCGGGCGGCGAGTCATGAGGCTTCCTGATTTGTTCGGAAAACCAGGCTGCCTACCAACATGTGAAGCTGGCTTCCTAGCCAATTAGGAAACCAGGCAGCACGTCATGACCTACCTTCCTGATTGGCTGGGAAGGCGGCTTCACTTGTTCCTAGGCAGCCTGGCTTCCTGATCAATCAGGAACCCAGGAGGTGGGTTATTACTTGCCACCCAGCTTCCTAATTGGCTAAGAAGCCAGGCTGCTTAGCAACAAGTGAAGCCGGCTTCCGAGCCAATCAGGAAGCCGGGAGGTGAATCAAATCCCACCGTCGCCCGGCTTCCTGATTGGAAAGGAAGCTGGCTCCATGCTCCCTTAGCAATGAAGTTCTGGTATCTGAGGTATACTTACCTACCTATTTGGGTGAGTATTCATACTCGCCCAAATGCTCTGATACTTCAGAGCATTTGGGCGAGTATGAATACTCACCCAAATACTCAGTATCAGTATTGGTGCATCACTGGTATTTACTCTTGTCTATAAAAATAATAACAATAAGAGGCTTTTGTAGCACTTGATTTGAATCCCAGCAGTACTGAATCAATTATGGAATCATCTTTATTAACTAAAATTAATACTAAATTGGGAGATTTGTTGATTTCTTGAATTTTGACTTTTTGGGGGGCATACAGTATACTATAAAGTAAAGTATACTTTCAATACAAATCCAAAATAGAGATAGATGTATTCCACATTTTAAGATAGGGAGGGGAGACATGCACATCATTGCCTTATATACCACACTGCATGTGCTGGTATATCACAGAGGTACGGCCTTATTGAAATTGGAAAGCCCGTGCAAAATACTACTGTTGCACAAAATCATATATGATTCAAGCATGGTAGCCTTGTTTAAATACAATGCTAGACATTGTAATATTGTAATAATATAGAACATATATTGTACTTAGCAGGTATACTTTTATGTTTCTTAATGCAAAATATATAAAATTAGGTAATTTTAAGTTGAAATCCTAGCAAATGAAAAAAAATTACATCAAATCATGCAGGCATTAGGTTCATTACAAATTATCATTACGTGTATTTTTAAAAGCAACCAGCATAAGTATTGGCATTAAACTGAGTATGAACCTTTTGCAAGAGAGCGGAAAGCAGCACCAGGAGCCAATTAGCTGTGCTGCAGTGCTCACATGCTAACAAGAAACATGCAAAGAGCAGAGTGACAGAGAGATGAGCGCATCAGTCTGCTGCTTCTCCTTCACTGTCCTAATCACAGGCTTGGGGCAAGGACAAGGCTTAGTTGTATTACTTAACTGTAATACAGAAAAGTCTCAGAAATGTCTTCAGGCTGGCAGTGCTGTAAATCTCAAGAATTAATCAAATCCTTTAGCAAGTTAAACATATATCTATTTCATCTGAATATTTAGCTGTATGCCTGCAGTTCAGCTTAAAAGCCTTAGACTAGCCACTTAAAATAGAAACAGCTGTCAACTATGGATTAAAAATGTAAAAGGGTAGACAAGAAACCCTGGAAAGTAGTCATTTCACTTACTCTGAATACAGTAGACATTATACTTCTCCTTTGACTGAGGAAAGTATGTCTGATTGCTGAAGCGATATTTAGTCCTCACCCCAAGGAGTCCACCTCCACACTGGGGTCTCGCAAAAGACACAGGATAACGCACACTGCCATCTGCAAGCCAGCCATAGTCACACTGGTCAAAGCCTTTCCTCCAAGCGGCATACAAGTCACCAACAGTTGCTATAGCTGCACTGTTCTTCTCGCATTCTATTTTAGCTTCATCAAATGTCAACTTTTTGGGAACATGGAATAGGTCACCTGAAAAAAAATTAGATGTATATGTGAAACTGTTATAATGAAACATAAGTATATGGAATTTATTGCAGAGGTGAAAACATGCAAGAAGAGATAGCTGTAAGATTAAACTAATAATCTGAATGTTGGCTCGAACTGCATGGTTTTGCTCTCAATGAGGCTTTCTGTGACTCAGCTAAGACTAACATAACCATAGGTTGATGTATCACATACCATTTAATACAAATGTTTATAAGTTCTCATGTATATTTTGTCTCGAACCATTATGTGTCTCGTAACACATCTTGGGCATGTTTTAAAAGACAAATAAGAAAAGAATGTTTATTGGCTCAAGGTACCTCCACTATAAATTTGGGAAGGGAGCTCCTGGGTGCAAAATACAAATAACCGGTACACACTTCCCTCAATATGGGTCTACCACATTTCTACAATGATTTTAGCAAGCAAAAAATTGTATGAGTGAGCTACATACCAAAATAGAAATACATTTTTACTACACTATTAAAACCATTTAAAAACAAAGCTGACCCATATAATACCACATGACTATGTGTGTTCTAATGGTGCATATGGTTTGCCACACAAATACATCCTATGGACTGCAACAAAAAGATCCCACAAACAACAAGAGTTTTAGAGTCAACACTAAGAACATGCATACATTCCTATATGGATACCAAAAACTCTAATGACATGTTCTAAATTGTAACTCGTAGCTTAGTAATACCCGAGGAGGGTGAACACTGTAAGGTTGGTTTTCTAAAGGAATTGAGAATATTCACATAATAAATAATTAATCTCCACATGCTTGGATAACTGAAGTGAGTATTCATACAATCCCAACTTCTTTACCAGCCTCTGTGTGTGCATCTACTGCATGCTGCCAAAGTGCATCCAAAAAGAGAAGTCAAAACCTCCATGAATGACAGAAGGAGAACATACAGTATGTGCTAAAAAGTCAAATCTCCTGTATATCGCATGTATAAAAGGAATGTTAAAACACACATTTGTGCATTTTATCCCGTGTTACCATTTATCTGCATGGAAGGCAGGCTTTGGCCAAATTGCTGCAAAAATATGCACGTGGCATTTATACAAAGCACAATATGATAAAACACATAAATAAAAACACTCCCACTGAGCAAAATGAAAGAGAACTCTGTCTGCGCTTAATATACTGTGATTTTGAACACCAAACTGTGGAGGAGCAATTGGGCCCTTATGTTTCCTTATCAGCTATTTCAGACTGTAAATAGCAGATGAGAAGCCGCATATCAATACCCTGCAGTGGGATTACTCAACAAGAATTCAGTTTAGTATAACAAGATCTAATCACATTTATAAACTTATCTTAGACATCTTCATTGTTGATAAACCCTTTTTCTTCAAATATATGTTGAATATATTTTACTGTTTGTTAGTGTAGTTTAACTGGTCTTTTTGGACCTCTTACAAAACAAATTTCTCGCTTGGTTCCAATTAAGCCAAAACTGCTGGTGACAAAGACTGTTTCCCTGAGTAATAGAAGTAAATAAGAATGGCAGCTCACAATCTAAAAAAGATTTTCTTTTTAAATATTTGCAATGCTCCCTCAAAGCTTTAATCACTGAATAAGCTATTGCCTCTAAGCATTTGTGAAACTGCCGCTCCAGCCCTATAAACACCAACAAAGAGGTTGTTTTTGCTTCTAAGGGATTCTCTTCGGGAACTGTTGGTAGTTGTGAGTGGTGCACTGAAGTGTAAATACCAGGCAACACCTTCATCTCATGAAATGAAGCATCAGACAAAAGGGTCTAATAATAATAATACATGAATCAAAGAATGTCCTCTAACTGCTTTCCAGGCTTAGTTTATTAAGGCTGTTACTGGCAATGTACTCTCTATAAAACCAGGCATGGCTAAAGCGAGTATTTAGTGGGTTAGCACAAGCCAATAGTGTCAGATGTTCGTGGCCCCTGAGACACTGAATTGTTAAGACACCAAGCTATGTAGTGTGCAAGTGCCTGTGTATGTCTTTTCGTATTCATTATATGAAGCTGTGAGCGGTCTGGCATTCTAACCATTAATTGGTACATGTCCGGACATTATAATCTGTGTACACAATAAATATTTGAAGACATTAGTAAAGCTGCCTTCACAAATAACCTATGACAACTAAAAGACTGAATTTAGACAATAGTAAGAAATAGCTCAGTGCCTTCTTTTTGTTATTTTTACATTAACGGCAAATTCCCTCTTCTATTACCCAGCCCACGGTGCTTGTATACATTTTATTTTGGACCATTGCAATGGACCAATAATCAGCATATAATGCGTAATGCATTTGTATTGTTAAAGAATACCTCTAGTGTGCTAAAAAATAGAGCTGTTAAAATCACTAAATATAATCAGGTGACATAAGTTTCTACCTTCTTTTTGATGAAAGTGAAGCTTATATGTAGCTCAAGTACCTAGCCGTCTGAAAATGGTTTAATCTGTGCCCGCCCCTCCACTACTTCATGCTGTTTGGCAGCACATCTGACACAGAGTAGGACTCAAGAAGGTTTAATGACTGAGACTCATGTGCCAGCTTTTTTCTAAGCCTTCTTATCCATAAAAAAAAATGAAAAAGTTTAAGTAGAATTAAACTCTTAAATGTTTTTCCAATAATTAATGCAAATAAAACAAAATACTGCATACTGCCCAGCAAAGTATTTCTTTACATTTTTGCCCAATCAAATCATGCTTCCACACAGCTGCAACTCTCTCAGCTCAACTTCCCTGGACTTCCTGCCCAGTACAAAATCGCAAGGAACAGAGCAGTATACAGCATTTGTACACCTACCAGCCTGGGGAAGGGATGAGAGAGGAGCAGGGAGCACAGGAGTTGCTTGCCTTGCTGTACCTGTGTGTTTGTGGAGACACACAGCTTACTAGCACACACAAGGGTAGTGCCATAGGATCCTGCAAAGGAAAAGGAGTCACCCTAAAACAGAATATCATGGACAATGTTCAGATGACCAGATGATTCTGCAGGAAGCTAAAACTTTTGAACATCAAGGAGCAGCATTCATTGTATGTGATTTAATCAGCATTTGAAATAGCCTAAAAACCTTCTGACTTTAATATCACTTTAAGAACAAATTGTTCAGGGCTGCTTGCCCCAACAGCTACCAATTTGTTCAAGGAACTGATAAATGACTCTTTAGCAGTTTACTTCCATGACTGCAGAATGCACTGAGGGTTCCCTAATTGTTAGTAGCATTGTTTCTTCCTTTTTTCTAACATAAGGAGTTGTTTTTCTGAAACTACATTTTGGTTATATTATAGTATACGGCCAGTATACAGCCTATGCTAATATGCACTGATTTGTATTAGGCATTCAGAGATGTAATATTATCTTTTGAGCACTAGATGGCTCTGTGGTGCAATGTTGTTCTCTATGCTTATGTATGCTTGTCTATGATAGACAGGGAGTTCTATCTGTCTCTATGTTTCCTTCTAATATGATATACAATGCTGTATTCTGATGTGATGTTCTTCTAAGCAAGTAAAACTTAATTCAGCATTCCTCAAGATTGCAGTGCTTCATCTAAACACATAACCAACATTTAGATGTTAAGTTGTGTTGTTGTTTAAAGGACTGCTGATGCTAGCTGTCATCAGTGCCACACCTGTGGTTAGATAAACTATATGACAATGTGCTTTTAATAAAGAATGTTGTAGCCTTGATAAATTTCCTTAGACGAGCCACATAAACATATGTTAAGGTTGTAGTTCTCTGAGGAATTCGAGCATGCCATAACTATGATGTCACCCCATGCCCGATGACTGTTGCAGATTGTACTTTAACATCTTGCCGTTTTCAAACAACACTAGCAAAGGTTACAAAGTTTTGTTCTCTATAAAAAAATAGCCAAAAGAAAAAAACAAACTGTTTAATATTACTAAATTATGATTTCCTGGATATCACCGCGACCCTCCTCACCCCCCACCCCCCCAAAAAAAATTAGCAAAACTTTAAATGTTTTCGTAGCTGGATTATGGAATAACTCTGCAAAATCAGTGAGGTACAATAAAGCTCAGAGCACATATGCAATAGAAGCTCACATTGTAACTCTGTCATTGCAGCCCAGAAAATGGAAACCATGACAGTGTTTATGTTACAGACAATAATGCAGTGTGTGTTAACCTTGGCAGCCTTCTCTAGCCATGTTGAAGTCAGCAGCGAAAGCGCCCAAAGAATTGACGGGATTTTCCTGTGCTGCCTATGTGCACGTTACTATTGAAAAAAAAAACCACCTGACTATTTAAGGTTTGGTTTTTTTTTATTGCTGTTAAATACCACAGACTAGACTTATGAGCCAGGTTCTCGACTCCAGACAAAGGCTGATTCAAAATCATCTCTGGAAAGCGCTAGACGCTGTCTTATTAGTCTATTCTTCAAAAGTCTGTCAAACCTTAAGCTTTTGGCATTACATTTTACTTTCATCTATCCTTATTAATACTGTCCCACCTGTTTAGGTTGCCTCTTTATTTATCCCAAAGCATATATACATGGATTTTATGGTGCCAGGAGAATATTAGCCTAGACAGTTCGCAAACTGAGGAAACTTTGCATGCCCTGCGGTTCATAGTTTCATACTTGTTTCCAGGCAAGGTTAATTTTCCATTACTGGAACTTCTAGGCAAAGAGCCCCAGGCAGTGGCAGACCTAATGCCATCAAAGTCCATGCTGCTGTCCTTGTCAGATGTGTGACTATATGTCTTTTGGTCACCTGTCTCTCCAGCAGTTATCTATAAAGCAATTCCACTAATAAAACCAGTGATAAAGATTTTGGAACTGCATACATGTTCAGTTTATTCAAAATGATTTATCAATGTATCCTGCTATTGCTTTTTGGAGAGATTATCATGCAACAAATATGTTGGGACCCCATCCTGATGGGCCCACTCTGCAGCTGTAGGAACTGTTATGGGTGTCCAAACATGGCCCCAATTAATTAATGTTTTTACTTATTGGGTATAGATTAGGACAGATCTATAAAGCAATTCCACTACTAAAATCAGTGAAAAAAAGACCAGCGATAGAGATTTTGGAACTGTATACATCAGGGGTCTCAAAGTACCGGCCCGCTAACCGGTACTTTGTGGTCCGCGGCCATCTGACAAGTCAGGTACGCAGTCACAGACCGCGTACCTGACTTGTGTGAACAGCTACACGGTCGGCAGCTCTGTCAGATGCAGCATAGCTGACACTGGCTGTGCGCTCAGTTCCACTTCCTGCACCAGACCTTACTAATCAACCACTAGATCACCAGGGAATGATGTGCCTCCTCCCTGCAAAAACGTAAGCAGATGAGGGGGCTCTTTGTTTATTTTTGTGTGTGCAGGGAACAGAAACTTGTGTTTTCCTGCAGCAGGAATCTCTAATGTGGTGTTTACATGCGGCAGATGTCACCCATTTAAGTTAATGATGAGATGACAGCCACTGCATGTAACTGCCGGCACACCGCATGTAATGGTATGTGATATGATTACACACGGTTAGGAATCATTCTCCCTGGACGCATTGATCGTGCATCCAGGAATAATGATTGATTCCTAACCTCATGTAATCATATCACATACCATTACATGGGGTTTGCAGGCATGTACATGCAATGGCTGTCACCTGATCATTACCTTGAATGGGTGACAGCTGCCGCATGCAAACACCACACCAACACCACTTAAGAAAAATGCAAGTTCCTGACACAGGAATCCCTAATCGCACCTAAACTTACAGGTGTGAATGGACCTTATTGTGCGTAAATCAGTGTGTGTATATCTGGTTGTGGGGGGGTTTGCATATTTCTGTTTGTGTATATTTCCATTTGTGTGCGTATCTCTGTGTGTGTGTGAGGTATAAAATTTGGCAAGCGGCCCCCATGGGAGAAAAAAATGTGTCCAGTGGCCCTCGAGTGAATTGAGTTTGAGACCTCTGGTAAACATGTTCATTTTATCCAAAATGATTTATCATGCATCCTGTTATTGTTGTCTAGAGAGTTTATCATGCTACCAGTGTTGGGACCCCATTCTGCTGGGTCTACTCTGCAGTTGTAGGGTCTGTTATGGGTGTCCAAATCTGACCACCCCCTCCCAATAAATTTACAATGTTTCTACTTGTTGGGTCATGGATTATGGTACTGACTGCATTGAAGGAACTACCTGGTCTAAAAGTATTTGAAGCATGCTAAAAAAGGGAAGACTAGTTAGCTAAACATTTTATATCAGATTTAAGATGCATGTTCAGCAAATTACTTTGGTCTTCCATCTCACCTTCTTTCCATATCATCTTTCGCTCAGCCCTAACCTAAAATTGCTTGTTACCTGGCAGAGGTGCAAGCTGATGGTTTCATTTTTGTCTGACTATATCTAAGGAATGCTCTGACTTTGTGCTTGCTTTAGAATGTATCCGAAACCTAGATTTTGGATAGAGTGTAGAAGTGTTCAAACCCTTGTCGGGGTTTTTATGTCTGTTTCCCCATTGGATGGATTTACCCTCTCTATTGTCTTGGTGACCAATGTCATCAGGATAGAAAGTGTTGGAAAATCAAACATTTTACAGTTGTCACTGGAAAAGGAACAGAGGGAAAAGTGTCCTGTTCCTGTGACAGCAAAAAAACAGGAGGGTTATAATCATTCCCTAATCTATCCAAAGCAAAAAAAAGTTTTGTTTTTAGATTTAAATACGTACCTACAATATACTACAACAGAAGAACTGCTAGAAGTTCTGCCTGAACAAGGTTGTATAGAAGGTACACTGTATTTAGGATTTACGGCAAACATATACAAAGGATAAAAAAAACGATGACAAAAAATATCTGCCCTTGCACTCAGGACACATCAGAGCCCTAAATTATACCCATGAGAAAAGCACTTTTATTTTGCTTATGAAATGTTTTAGTAAGAGCTGTTATAAAACTATAGAAAACATCAAGCTCTTAAATCTCCTAACTGTTAAATGTAATATAAACTCAAAGTGTCTGCTGACAGCTTTTTGAGGCTAATGTTATTTGTATTGTGGGCTGTAGTTGGAAGTGGAAAAGCATGTATTTTTAAACAGTGTAGATTGGATTATTTGTGCTGTAGAGGTGCCTAATCTGCTTGTGTAACATGGCTGTGTGGCTTCTGCTCTTTGTTAGCTACAAAATTATGAGCACCAAAAAGAAAGCTGGTTGTGTTCTTCAATTAGAAATGTTCTGTATTTGCTAATTATTACTATAGCCTCCCATAAATTATACTTTCATAATGTCATGGAAGTTTGCCATATTCATTAAATATTGTTTACAAAAAATACTTTGGGTATAGCATCTAATATTATCTAAGGACCCTGCCTTAAGCTGGAGTGCTCTTATTCCAAATTTAGTATGAAGCTAGGTTAGGAGCATTATTGCCAGTGGCACATGCTGGAGAAAGATGTTAATGTTTAGGGTGGCCTTGAGGAAGCATCTTTCCTCCCAGGCTGCTGCCTGGAAAGGAACCAATGTAAGTCTGTCTTTTTGACTCCTGGGCTGTGGCCAGAAGAGGAGGTTGTGTTGGAGGTCTTTCACCTTCCAGGCCTGCTGCCTGAGGAGTGTTTTTTTGCTGAAGAGGGGTCTGAGCCTAGGCTAGAATGTATGCTGCATTGCTGGAGGGTACATTTAGAAAGACTGGAGCAGGAAAATGGCTTCCTGTGTAGAGAATCTTGGGAATATGCTTTGCTTCTGAATAGTGTGCTGGAAAGCTGGGTAAAAGCTGCTGCTGGTGGATATTGCAGGGATTGCTTGCTGCTTCTCATAGGATTTATTTGTGCTACCTGGTTGTGCTTAACAGTCCCCACATACAGATTGCTCATCTCAGCTTAAAGGCTGGTAGCCTGTATTTACTTTGGGTAGAAGAAAGGTCTAGAGCCACTTTGCCTGTTTTTGGGTATCCTCTGCCCTAACTCTCTCTCCTCAAGTCTCTTTAATAAACTCTTAAAACTTTCTAAAGGGACTGGTGCACAATTTCCTTTTAATTCGCAAGAAGCCCCCTGGTATCCTCCTTATGTTACCAGGAGTAGGGGATGCTACAGATGTGTTTATATTGATAGGCCATCGCTAAAGGAAATCTACCCAACTATATATTTTTTTCTTTCCTACAGATGAAAAGATGAATGGATTGCTCCTTCAGAGCCCCCTTTGTTAACAGCAATGCTCCATTTCGTAAGGCCATGGCACATTAGTAATCTGCTAGTATCTAACAGAATCACTAAAGAAAGTAGTCATCTGCTCCTATGGCATTACTCCCTACCTGGCCTACCTGCAGAATCTCCCTTACCAGCCTGAGAGCACTCATGGAGCAACGCCTTGCTGGTTTGGCCAGCAAAAGAACAACACCGTAGGAGCATGCAAGTGTTCTCTCTGTTCTCTTAGCAATCTTGTGACTAGAGAAAGGATCATCAGTGTGACATGGCCCTGCGTTTGTTTGATTGGACTCCACCAGTGTGGCACGTGCTTCATCCAAACGTTTCAAAATGTGAAAAACTAGCTAGGGATAAATATGGAAAAATCTGTACATGGTGCAGCAGTTTCTTTTCATAATCAGAGCCATGAAAATAAAAGTGCTACTCTGTGAAACATTTACTTTGCTTAGTGAACAGTCTTTATTCCTTTAGTAAATCACCGCTATTGCATGTGAATGACGGACATTAATTGTGTATATAGAAACCTTTTTAAAGATGTATTCAATGTGTGCATGATATCGCTGCAAGCAGCCAATCTCAAGAATTCCTTAAAATGCCAAGAAGCCAAAACCAGAGTTCACCTCATATAAAAAGCAAATACCAATATGCATAAATGCATATTTAAAATTCACATACCTAGATATATTTAACAGTGTGATAAGATTTTTTTTACAGCTAAGTGCAAACTACTGCTTCATGTTTTCACCTATCTAAGAATCAAGAAAGACCATTTAACTGCTGTCATTAAAAGGAATTCTTGAACAAGAAACCAGTTGTATGTAGCAAAATATCTCTTACCACTTTTACTTTTCAAAATATCTCCAGGAGGTCTCTCTTTTGAACTAACCTACCATGTTAACTGCTCCTTTAACAGCAACATGTGCAAATTCTTTAGATGTTCCGTCACGAATCCTAACATACTAGGCCACAGACAGTTTGAAACCACTATTTAGGTTTGCTACCTTATATAGCACAGGAGAAGGTTCTGCCTCCCCCATTGTAAGTGTTCATTATTGTACTAAGGTCACACAAAGCCAAGAGTATTGGAACCTTGCTAGCCAGCAAGGGAAACTGTCACAATATCCAGCTATGAGAAATGCTTATAGTCTAATACAGGTTACATGTGCTGACGTTAGATTTGACAGTAGCCCCCATATTGAGTGAATATCCTATATTAAGCAGCAAACCTGAATAGTCTTTTCTAACCCTCCTACCTCCACACAGTGCTTTAATTGAAACCTCACTAACCACATAACTATAGGGTTGGGTCAGCTGTTGTTTTTTGCTTAACATAAATGAAATACACTAAAAGCAATACTTCCTGGCTCTCATATCACATTGGTCTTGAAAATAAAGCACACAGTTTTAGAATCTTACCCTGAAGTTCATTCACAAAACAGTATACATCATATTTTTCCTCCTCTGGACGTCTTCCATAGGTTCTTATTCCTTCCTTGCCCTTTTTGTCGCCAAAGCAGCCAGCTCTTGGGTTGCGGATTGGGTATCTTTAAAACATGCATGCAGTAAAGGATTACTTCCACGTTTTTTAGCAGAGAGCATTGCTACCTTCTCCCTTGCACAAACACTCAATAATAAGCAGTATTATAATACTACTTTTATTTTATTACTTATATAGCACTGTCAATTTTACGTAGTGCTCTACATACTGTTCTTTCATTTCAATTCCTGTCTTCAAGGAGTTTACAATCAAAGGTCCCTACCTTATATGCACACATACTAGGCACCAATTTAGACCCAAGCCATTTAACCTATTAGCAGAGGGTGACCAAGGCTTCAGGGACCGGTCTAGTAGCCAGTCAGGTTGGATGTTCAGCTGAGTATTTCTTTGTTATTTTAGCTCCCTAGACAAAATGAGCACTTAACTCTTGCAGTGCAGGGGTAGCCCCACTGCAAGTGTTTAATAATAGGACATGCACACCCATTTTTAGGCATCATTTAACAAAAAAAGGGGGCTGGACGATAGAAGCGGTACCCTCAGAATACCCCTAAGGAATATCAAATGGTAAGCATATATTATATCAAAATCACATCACATAAACAGTATACAAAAATCTGATATACAATGCAGTACAAAATGTAGACCCAAAATGTACAGACAGAGAATAGTACATGAAAACAGGTCACTCTCACCACTAGTACTGAACAATATAAAGGAGCAGAGAAGCTTAGAAGCTAAACAAATACAGCATATAACCAAGTGGAGATTTGTTATGTCAGATCAGATTTGTGCATACTATTTATGTGACATGATTTTGATATAATGTATGCAGTTTTTTAAAATCTCAAGCTGTTTGGTGTGCTGACTTTCCATTTGGTGTTTTGTAGTAAATAGAGGTGCACTGTCCAAAGCTGATAACAATATTTGAGATTTCAGTTTAACATTGTCAGCTCACTGCAGCAATAGTTTTATACAGTGCTTTACATACTGTTAAACGACAATTTTTATATCATAATTTGCAAAAACACCAAAATTATACAAAATGGATACTTGTCTATTGAACACCAAAATATTTACCTAACAGATTGGTCTGCCAGCCATCCAGCGTCACACTGCTCAAAGCCATCTTCATAGGCAGCTCTCAGTTGTGCTGGGGTTGCAATTGAAGCACCATTGTCTATACATGCTTTCTGGGCACCTTCAAAGTCTAAGATGTACTTGTCTACAGGTGCACGGTAGTGGAAGACAACACCTACAAAACCAGGAAATCTATATTAACACACTGCTACAGTACAAACTATGGTGACATTTATTAGAAAAGGAATTTCCATTAGAAATATTAGTACGTAAAGTAAACCTGGACCCAGACTAAGTTCAATAAAATATTACCATATTCTAAACAAGAATTAAACCCAATTGAAAATAAGCTCTCATTCACCTCTGTAGCTATAGTCACTGTGTAGAAATTCTTCTTCTGGTTAACAAAGAGGCTCTGAAATCTTATCTCTTGTCCTGTTACTTTTTATTGCAGCCCTTCTATGAAGGTATTTCTAAGCTGGTAAAAATGGACTGAAACCTGACTTTAGAGTCTTTTGTATGATCTTTGACAATTAGTTACTTTACAGTAAAAACTGATGCCAGGGAGGGCTTGTTTTAAAGTTTTTCTTTCCTGCCTGTTAAGAATATGTAAATGCTTTAATGTCCATAGTCTGGGTACAGGTGCATTTTAAATTCTAACTCCATAATTTTTTAATGATCATTTTAAATAAAGGGGACAAGGGTTAAAACCTCCATCAGGTTTTATTGATATCTTTATGCTCATTAATCTTTACAGTGGAGACAGATAGCACTACAAAACTAGTACACAGTCTTTAATCTATCTGCTCTCTGTTATGATACTGTTTTTGTGCCCCATCTGTGTCGTAAATTGTGAGATTTTCCCACATGCCCTGTATAGAAAACAGTAGTCCCTGGGGCAGAGAGTAAAAAACAATATCCAAAATGGGGACAGGGACGGCATTTATAAGAGCTTAAGGCTCAACTGCCAACTTAGCCCCCCAACATCTGATCAACCCTGTCCCTCCAAACTGTTACCCTGTTGCAACCATTTTATTTTGAGATTACATGAATCCCTGTATTGCAAGAAGTGTTGCTATTAAATCTCACCGGAAACATCCAGGGAAATAGTATCTTGAGTATCTTCGATTCCAAACAGCACTTCACATCGGTAAACACCAGCATCGCTGGCACGGAGCTTAACCATTGTTAATGATGCATCACCAATGTCTTCTGGGTGACTGGGTACAGACACTCTGCCCCTGTAATTTTGGCCAATTTTGATACCACCACTTTGGGCAACTAGAACTGTAGTTTCCTTTGGGTCTTTTCCATCTCGGCTTCGCTCGATTTTGGTCCATTTTATCCTCAAAAATTCACTTGTGATGTTGTAGATTGGTGGTAATGTTGGTATTGTTGAGAAATAGCATGGTAACGTCACTCTCCCTGACAAAGTTCCTTTGACTGGTGGACTCTTTTCCAATTTAACTGAAAAGAAAAACAAGGGAAAAAATAAATATCTCAGTTGTTATACCTCCATTATTTCAGTTTTCTTCTGTTCAAGGATGACAGGTAGTGGAATAAATTATTCACAGTGTTTTTGATTCAGTTGTGTTAATGGGCTTATTCGGTAAGACAAAATGCAAAGAGGATGATGTTGATGATGATATGCAAAGTACATTAAACCACAGTAACCATCCAAGTCCAGTTTAAATCCAAAGTAGATATAGAGGCACACACGTAGTTCAGTTCAGTTTAATTAATTCAGACTGAAAAATATATTTTTCTTTGGTAGATTGCAATGGGTTATGGTGCACCAACATATTCCTCTACACTGGCTTTTTACTAAAGTAATGATATCTAACTAGTAATCCAGGAATCACATGCTTTTCAGTTACCATTCATTCATTGGTGAGTGTGCAAGTATGTAGTTCATTGTAGGACATCCCATCCTTAAGTTGACATTGCCAGAGCTTAAAGCATATAACATAGTTTATTTCCTACTAATGGAATAAATATTATTATTGCTGTAGTTTTTGTTTATCATAACATGGTCTTTTCTTGAGCCTAAAAATTAAAATAGTATCAGCTCAGTTTTGTGATCCATGGCATCATTACATACTAACAGTCATCAGGCAACAGCTCTGACATAAGGAAGCAAAGGCTTCTTCCTCTACAAAGATGGGCACCCAAACACAGAAACACAGTGCAGAACACGGCATGGTAGGTCAGTAATGGGAAAGATCAACTGCAGGGAGGCCACAGGTAATACCTGTGATTACACCTTTGTCCTCTGCTTGTCTTTTTTGAAGTTTCACAGATCAGGTAGGGGTTTACAAAAATGATGCATGTCAAAAACTTATATCTAGGGAATACATCCAAATGTTGGTGTCAGTTCCTCTATAAGCCTGTTAAAGTATTAAATTTCCATATTTTTCTCATACATTTGCACAGCATCTGCCTCAAGGAAGAAATTCTAATTGCTCAGAATTGTCCAGTAGCTAGGCATATAAGAGAAGATACAGGAAAAATATCTGACAACATGTTAGGGTCCATTCACACTTAAGTGCTACATTGCGGAGCATTAATGCACCAGCATTAATGCACATTATGGCACATGTTATTGTGCATTGTGTTAAGGGAGCCTATTCATTATGAATGGGCTGCCAAAGCACCACAACCCTTTTTTAACAACACAGCACCACGGTATATGCATGATGGTGCACTGTGGTATGTTGGGTTCTACTTTACAAAGAGTTGGGGTGCAGTTTACAATGAATGGCACTACACTGTATATAGAGCAGGCGCGTTGCCATGAGCCATGGTGACATGTGTTGCCACAAAGCACGTGTGTTTATAGCTCCCTACACTTCCTACATAACCACTGGCATGTATGCACGTAAAACTGCCTATTCTGCATACATAAAAAGAATGTGGTTTCACTATTCTCTGACTTTGCTTCAACAATTTACATCACATTTGTCTGGAATGTATAGGGACTAAGGAAGAGCTGCCAAGTAATTTGGATAATGGTTTAGCTACTTTGCTCTGTATAACTGCATGAAACAATAATCCTTATTGTCATCTACCAAAATCTTTGTTAAAATGATTTCCTATGTAGCCCGGGACCAGGGGTTGTCCTGAAGGAGAACAATGATACCAGCGATACTTCAAGCAAACATTCTGTCCTCCTCCAGCTGAAGCTTGTCTCTACAAGGCTTTCTTATAGACTGTGCAACTAGATCCAGATGTGAAGCTGCTATCCTTAGGCGAACCCTGCATATAATTTGTGTAATATTTTTATACTTCAGAAAGGATATAAGGATATTGTCATGGCAGCAACAGCATCTTAGGTGATTTTTTTGAGGTACATTAAAATAGAATATTGTTGTTTTCTTTTTAACAGGCTGAAATTATCATTCCACTCACTCAAAGCCATTAGTTTACTATTAGAATGTATACAGAACACCTGAAATATGCAAAGGGCTCCACAGTGATATCCATTATCATGCTGGCACGACTACACATTTAGTTTTCTGTTGGGCTACTTTGTTTTCAAAAACCTCTATCCACATCTATGTATTTTATAACACATATGTTATAAGGTATATAAATATGTAGTATATGCGGCTTTTTGTGCTGATTAGCTGGAAAATTTTTGTATTTATATGCACAATATTGGTGCACTTTTTTGTTCTTTTTTCATGCCAGCACTCATTAAAATGTATAAAAACACATGTAAAATACACTACGGGTCAACATGCATGAGTGCATATTCATGTGTGTTGTAAATGCATGCTACAACACACATGAATATGTATCAGAGAAGGGCTAGGCTTGGGGACAGGAGGGCATATACCCTGCCTCGCCACCCCTGCCCCGGCCCAGTACAAATCATATATGTTGGGTTGGTGACCATAGCTCTCCCATTCAAGCTTTTATCAGAGTGGGACTTGCAGTCAGTGACAGCTGCTGGGTGGTCAGATATGTGGCCATAGCACCTGGCGGTATAAGTCTTCCAGCATCAACTTTCTTTGCAGATCTGACATGTTAACTGATCACAATGATAGCAAATACTGTGAAATGTAGACCTTGTATATGGAATGTCTGACCAAGCGATTGTGTTTTCTTTCTAGTAATCCTTGCCTACCATTATATTGTTATGGCAGGTTAATGCATCAAAGGGAGAAGCTGTCTGGTTGTTAGGGAACAGTACAGTGCAGTACTTAAAGGGTTGCACCATCATTATATACTTAGCTGGCTAAGTTGACACACTAAACCAGATCAGCAAAATGGTAAACTTTGCACCTAGTTTTAAAATATTAACTATTTTTGAGTCATATTGCTTGTATCTTAGAGTATTACTCTGCCCAACTAAGACTGTGTACATTTTGTGGTTGTGATGTTAAAATGGAAAACAAATTGTAATAGTAATAGTGTGTCTATGGGAAGTTTTACCAGACACTGCTGCTTAACGCCCCACCACTGGCTATCATGTTTTCGGGCGCTAATGCAAAAAAAAAAGGGGGTGAGAGAACAAACAAATATCAGCGAGGCTTACTAGAAGAACTAAACCTGGACATACATGGATAGAATTTTGGTCATTTCCTGCTGAATCTGCCACAATTCAAACAGTTTTTTTTAAATTGACTTTTGTGGAAGGAGCCGGCTGGATAACTGTCAGATGAACAGAAAAAAATTGCCAGCAAGGGAGATTCCTCCATCCATGCTATTTAACATGGATGGGGGAACTGAGCGTTTTTCCTTGTTGAGCCCAATGGAGTATGGCCAGCTTGACTCCCTGCTCAGTATATTATACTGAGGGAAGATTGTCAAAGATATAAAAGCGCAAGATGTTCAGAACCACAATCCTAGTATTTGTTCCTTGTTTACATCTGAAAAGAGCTAGCAGCCTAAATCTGCTTTTGATTCAGCAGCACAATTAATGATGTAACATCTTTCAAAAAAATGTTACGACAGATCAGAGGGACTTGCTAGCAAAACCCACAATTGTATGTTCATATTACAGCTCTATTGTTAAGTGGCCGAGCCTCAAAGAAAATGTTACAATAATGTTTCCACAACAAAAGCTGCACATATGTAATGTAATGACTGTAACTACTATTCATTTTTAATAATTAAAGAGAAACTCTGGGATACAGCTAAATACACCAATTAAAGTACATATATTGTAGGCTTGCTGCTTCACCTACCAAAGTATGTTTTATTCTGCGCAGCCATCTTATCATTTGCAGGCATCTGCCACACTGCACAGCCAGACAGGGGGCCTATCTATTTCACTATTCAGCAAATCAACACTCTGCCTCCAGTCTGAACAATGCATTTGCATCATCACCTGTATCTTCAGTAGGATATGCACGGCACATCCTCAGTGGATGTGCACAGTGCTCAGCTGACTAAAGGAGCCAGATGGAAAATTCTCTGCTGAACAGAGAAATGTTCTGATAGCGGCTGGTGACCACTTTCAGGATACAAAGGAAACATCGGGGGATTCATCCATAAACGCTTGTAAGCGTTGATGAAGGAATCTGTTTTATTTTTTTTTCGTTTAGCCCACTGGTTGAACTAAAAAAAAATTAAATGAGTATACTGGCATTATATTCAGGAAAATGAACAAGGAAACAGTAACCCATAGAGTATGTCAGAGGTGTGGAAATCACAAGTATGGCTGAAAGTATTTCAACTCTCTTATTTAGCTCTTTGCATTATGTTCCACTTTATGAGAGCCTTCTAGTTTCCTTATCTTAAAAAAGTATCCTCATATATTTAAAAAATGAACATTGATGTAAACCACAAATGTAAAGCAGGCCATACACTGTTAGAATTTTGTTCAATTTACAGCAGACACTGCGCTAATCTCACAGCATCTGGTGTGCGGTGCACTGGCACTGCTGAAGCACTTATCCCAGCGCATCGTACTGTGTACTTTTTAGAACTTTACTGAAAAGTGATATTTCATTCAGTTCTACGGGCACAGCAGGATGCAAGTGTTGCATCTCGCTATGCAAAAAAAAAGTACAGCATGCCCTACTTTTTTCAGTGCACACCACCGCAAGGCAGTGGTGTGAACCGAGCCTGTCTGTGACGTGGCAAATTACCCTGTCTTGCATTGGGGCTGCACTGGAAACAACGGCCAGTGCAGCTCTAACACAGATGGTGTGAATCGGCCCTCAAATGTTCATTGGAAATTGTTCATCAGAACATTCGATCTTGCCATCATTGAGTCAACTAATAAAGCCCTTAAAAATGTTGTCTCATCCAGCTACTTGAATGGAATCCCAAACGTATTAAACTTTTTTTTTGTGCCTAGCACATGAGCAATACAATACAATAAAATACAAACAATTTATTTTCTTCAGATAAGATACATTTTCCATCCTGCTCCTTCAATTTTGCCTCATCACTGCGGTCAAAAATAAATGTTGATTAGACCTCACTATTAGAAAGTTGAACAAACGTTCTAAAAA